TTGTGAGCTATGGTTAAGATATCCATGAGATGATGATTTTCCTTCTCCCATCTCCTTTTAGCTCTGCTGTTGGGCACATCTTCTCACTGGGGACAGAAGGAAGAGATGAACAAATTACCTTACTTCTAGAAGTACTTGCTTCCACAGCTCCATCTGTGATTCTCCCTTCTCACTATATCCCCTCCTTGCCTTCCTCCACTCTTCTGTGCCTCCTCTTCTACTACAGAGGTATATTCCCAAGTGAATCTGACCATTTCCAGTTAAACTGTTTACTCCTTTGGCTGCAAACTAAAACCAACTCACTAGCAAATGGCTAGGTTAGAAAACTTAACAAGAATAGTAGACTGGACATAAGTCTTTGTCCTGGTTCAGCTTGGATAGGGTTAAGTTTCCCCAGCAGTGGGGAGGGAGCTCTAGCTGGGTTATTCAATACCATGCTGACATCAGGTCCGGGCACCCAAGTTCGAGAAGAGCGGGGAAAGCTTTTGTTCATCATCGCTACTCTTCTGCTGCTGTATCCTTGTGGTATATCTCTGTATATCTCTTGTCCGGTTCATTGTTATTACTGTTTATTGTTTTCGTTATTGCTATTGTTGTTGTTTGGTTTATTATTTGTTACACTGTTGTATTAAATTTTTCCTTATCTCAACCCCGGGGTTTGTATCTCACTCCCTGCCCCATCCAGTCCGAGGGTGGGGGAGGGACAACAGCAACGTGGTCTCGGGTCCCAGCAGGGCCTAAACCACTACAGTCTTCTGTCTAGTATTCCTCACACTAAAAGAACTAACAGTGCTGAACATGATTATACCTTACAGCTACTGCACAGGCTAACTACCAAAGGACAATTATGCAGCACCAGTACTTGGTATCTGCTCTATCAATAGGAAATATGAATAAGAGAGTTACTACACGTTATTCTATATTTGTAAGGAATCAAGCCAGCCCAAAGTTGTTGAGAGCAGATATGACATCTAGTACATTGACCTAAAACATGGAAAAGGCAAAATGTGGGTGAACCTTTAGTGGATCCAAAAGAAAAAGGCAATGGTCTTTGCAGTTTTACACCACTCCTTGTTAAGGAGGTACCATAAGCACTGTGTACCACTGACACTGAGCCCCCCAGAGTTAATGACTACAAGGCATGTAGGTTATGGGAACATGCCTGTGTACCACTTGCAGCAAGAGGCATAATGTCTCTTACTATTCACCTAGCTGGTGACAATGACTGTTTAAGTTTTCACTCTGTGACAGTGAGAATCCACCATGTAAGGCCTGGCAATGAGCAAACACTGAAAGCTTTTATTATCAGAAAGTTGCTACCTGCTTCCAACCTCACCTGTGGCCTGTTCTCCTTTCCCTCCTCAACAGAGCTTTGCAAAAGCACCACTGAGTTTTTTACACACGCTGTCCTTATGCTCAGGAAATGCATAGGACAGGATAAGGACTCTCTGAAAATCTCCATAAAGCTTCCCCTGACAAACTCTTATTCTTGAGTTGTCTGTGGAACTTCCAGATAGTACAACCACAGTGAATAACAGGGCTCCTTAATTTGTATTTTCTTCATCCTTATTCATGTTTCCATTTTGTTCTATTATAAAAGTAAAACTGGAAGAAGCACTGTACACATACAAGGCCTGTTGAAGAGAAGTACTCTCCAACATCCTTTATACAGCAACTGTGGATACCACGGACCAGGCTCAAACACACTCCCTAAATAGCATCCCCTCCTGCCACCCTCAGAGACAGAATAGTGGGATAGATGCACTCGTCTGATGCAGTCCAGGCATTTCTCACTCGCTCTTAAATTTCAGCTGAGATTCCCTGTCACCACACTAGATGGCACAGTTTACAGAATAAAATTCAGAGAATTAATCTGAGACACTGCACATGGGCCAGGACTTCCTAATAACAGCTATGGCTCTAGAGTTGCTTATAGAATTGTGATAGTAAGTACCTGCCCTACTGTTTTGTTTCTAAAATGTGAAAAGGTGGCAAGTTTGAGGCTTCTGATCTTAGGCCAGTCAGCTGGCTGGTAATTCTGCAAAGTCACATGTAGCTTTTCAAAATATGGTCCAGCAACTGCTATCACATTTACTGAATAAACAATGGTGCAGTGAAGGCTCAGTGTTCACAGAACGCTAACGTCCAAACTAAAGCCACATCACAAATGATTGCATGAATAAACTAAAATCCTGAATTAATTAGAAGCAGAATTGTGTCTCTGAGACTTTGAGAAACTGGCTCCTTGACCCTTTATTGTACTGCTTTGTTTGGTTCCAATTAAAGTTCTAAAAAAATACAAGATACATTTTTGAGCACTTCTGTTAATCTGCTTTGGAAATTCTCTTAGAGGGAGAGGTCTCCATGTTTTATGGCATGTGAGCATTTCAAAAATTCCTAGAGAGGAAAGGCTACCAAAACCCAGGGGTAAGTTACCCCTGCAACTATCTGTGTGTTTGCTTCAGAAGAGGAGCCTCAGTCCTCAGCAACCAGTGAGCTCTTGGGTTGTGACTCTTCTCACTTCTCTTCTGTCCAGCATCTCTGCTTCTAACACTTGATAAGTGATCAGTGACTCAGGAATTTCAGCCTCAGATTTCACCAAGAACCTTGTTTTTAAAAAAAGGAAATAGATTTATAGACTTCCTAAGAAGAGTTCTAAAGCACAAATTCATTGCTACCTGGACAGGGTATCATTGTTACAACCATGACTGAACCTCTTAAAACTAGTTATATCCCGCATAAATCCACACTACCTCTGAAAGGGAAAGGTCTGCCTTTCCTTTGGCCACCCATTCTTGTTTTCTCCCCTCTGTTGGCACAAGTATTTGTGTGTATTAAAAGAAATATATATTTTTTTAATTTTCTGATGGATCAGTTGCCTAATCTGACCCACTTCAATGGTCACATGAAAGCAAAGGCCTGCACAAAACAGGCAGTGAGGACAGGGGAGCCAAATGGTCAGGCAACTCTTCTTTGGAACAATGTGGATTTATGCTGGACTAAAGTGCAATCCTAACAGGAGGTTTGCAAATTATGAAGCCTTTTCAGGTCCTGCCACCCACTGCAGCTGCTGCAGACAAGTAATAATTGATAAAACTGCACCCCTTGCTCACAAAAAAACCTCCCTCACTTCTGAACTGTAGCCATTCCACAGCAGATTACAAGGATGGCCCTGGTCTAGGAGACCACAGCACTCAAAGTGCATTTGCATCAGTGGATGCTGATGGCACCTGGAAGTGACTGGGCAAAAGTTGCATGTGCTCTCTGGGGAATAAATAGGGTTTATGTGGGAATCTGGGATCTGGGTTCTAGAACTGTCCTTCCCTGCCTTGTTGTGTGGCAAGCTTGTCTCTGATGGCACCTGGGTGCTCTGTGACTCCCTCTTTTTGTAATCATTCAAAAGCATTTCTAGTGACAACAATTACTCTCCGAGAACTCAAAGCAATCTCAGTGTTTTGCTTTAGTTTCTTCTACAGATACTGGGTGAAAAAGAGTCTGAAAACTGAAGAGACTTGTATGAGCATGAAAGATGAACAGAACCAAAGGAGACCTTTGCTCTATTCTTGCTCGTTAAAGCAGTACCCTGTCTTTCATCATGTGCATTTTTGTGTCTTCAAGATAAATTGTTCCTTAAGGGTTTTTGTAAGAGTCACTTCTAAGCTGTGTTAGTTTGGTGTCTCTTCCTTCCTAAGCTGTTTTATCAAATATATTTAAGAAAAGAAATACTGGGGTTAGCAGCTCCAAACACTACCTCTTCATCTGTGCTGAGGGTGCTTGGTTAGTGTAATGGTACAATAATTAATGATTTTTGTCTGCTCTGTTTCAGGGACATGACTAGGAATTTTAAATTGCAGTACACACATGCTACCTAAAGAACAGTAGTATGTAGGTGCCCTACCTGATAATCCCAGCTGAGCAAGGTGGTGTACAAATACAGAGCATGGGACTATATGTTCTGAAGGCTAGAAAAAAGGAATATAAGTAAACTGTGAAAATATCACCTACTACACAAAGAGTTTCAGTAGTTAGTACAACTCATTACAGTCAAGTGTCTGTTTTAAGTGGCAAGGCTAAGCTGCACCCTGAAGCATCAACAGTGGTAAAAGAGAGTGCACCCAAAACCACATTCCCTGAGAAAGTGCCCAGGCAGGTCCTAGCTTCTCAGTTCTTTTCTTTCACTCTATTATTGAGTAGATGTGAGCAGTGCATGTTTAGCACATGCCAGAACGCATCCCACACATCAAAGTACCAAAATAGATATTTTTACTTAAGCACAAGCTCAGCACTTTGTTGGAGGAGGGCTTCCGAGAAGGTGTCTTGGCTACTGTGGTGAGCAAAGAAAGGAAAAATATTTAGGTCATGAATTCTGTGTATTCACACAGGCCACCATATTCCATATCAGCCAGAGAACTTCACCACGAAGACTGCACACTTGTGCTTCTATAAATTCAAATGACATTTACTGTCCTGTTAAGCTGAGGTAGCACTGTTCTAAATGACACTGAAAGATTAAGAAGTTCACACACTGGAAATAGACTTGTTGGGACATCCACTTAGCCCCTCTTTTTTTCTAATGAGACAGTGGATAAAATCTCATCAGTAGGCTTTAGAAATCAAGTAATGAAAACATCTTTGTTCAGATAAAGAGAATGGATTTTTAAAAGGCAGCAGTCAAAACTGAATGAAACTGCCTCCCCTAACTCCTTCTCTGGTGTTAATCTCTGCTGTTAATAGTCTACACTGATAAACATTTTTACAGTTTGTCACTCCAGAATTATCAGCTGAAAATAGAAAGTTGTAAGTTGCATTTGCTACATTTCTTGGGTTCTTAGTAAGCTTTATCTGTATAACCTTTTAAGTTTGAAATAAAATTTGACATCATGACTTCAAGAGGGAAACTGGTTAGTAAAATGAAGGTTAAGTTAAAATAAATGTCAAATATCTTCTGCATTAATGGACTCTGAAGCCCTGGTAGTCAAAAAAAGCTTCCTGAGCCTAATATGCAAGACAGGTGAACAGGACAATGTTAAGAAATCCAATTGTAGTAATTAGAATATGATGCAGAAGTTACAAATTTAGTAGTGAATTCATCTCACTACCCAGGGATACCAGAGAAAGCCTGGATTTTCTTCAATACAATCATTAAAGTACAAGCAAATCAGTCACCCTCTGCGCCCCCGTTAGCGCATATAAATCTAAGGCCACCAGTGCTGCTAGAATTAAGTTTTGCAGCCTTCTGCAGTTACTATAGCTCCAATGCTTGCTTTTATGCAAAAATAGGAAACTCAAGCATTCGGTCCTCAACTTTTGCATGTCACCTCCCTTCATTTTTATCTGTGGTTTACAACACTTGCAGCACGACAAAATGAGGAAAGAGAAGGAAAAGAGGGATGGCAGACAAGGGAGGAGGGTTGGGAAAGAGGAGAAAGTGAGATTTTCAACTTTTTCTCACCTGACTTTTTTTATTCCAACCTGCCCTCTCCCTGCCTCCAGCCGCCCGCGCCCGCCCCG